CCCCAAAACCCCAAAACCCCAAAACCCCTTATGGGTTAAATCTAGATTGAATATATAATAAAATAAAATCACTATACAAATATATAATTTAGACATTTAATTTGACAGTTTATAATGTCTGTGTATTCAGGTTTTGCAACTAGACAACAGGAGTCTGTCTATACCAGACTCATTGAGAAAGTACTAAGCTTAACCATCAAGAAATGTCTCTCCTTAATGTTTAATGGTAAATTTTCTAATTCTTCAATTAATAATGAATAGAGCAAATAAACGATGAGCAGTGGATTCAAGATCTTAAAAAATGCTATAAGCACATTAAGTTTTTAGATGGATATAAATACTTACTACCTAGATTCTCCTAAGTTATTGCTCCCTTTGTTTTCTTTTCTTGCTAAAAGCAGGTAAAAATAATATATAAATTAATGACTCGCTATAGGGAGTATTGCCTTCGTCAACATCAAGCCACATCTCAGGTATGACTGCTTTTAAGAAATAAAAAGCGATAATTGAGCACAATGAAAACCTCACTTCAAGTTATAATAATTTTCCAACAGAGTTGTCATTTAATTTTGACAAAACCATGAGCATTCATGGATTTTTGAACAATCAAAATCACTCATAGCAGCAAAGTTTAAATCAAATGTCTCCCAGAACCTAGTAGCTGATTGAGGATGGAATGAATAAATAAGCCAAACTCAAAAGTGAGTCAAAGTAGCCAAGTAAGAAAGGGCTTTTGACTACTAATAAAATTGATGTATCACCTCAAAATACATCACTCTAAAACACTGAAGTTAAATTATAAGAAATATAGTAAAAAAAACATCATAAGACTAGATCATAAACTGATATGAGTAATGGTGCTCAAGATGTAGTCAGAAGAATTCCATTTTAAAACTTCTAATAGAATTTTTAGCCTGCTGATTTCAAGGGCTCCAGAGTTGAAGATGTAAGGCAAAGCAAAAGCTACTTAAAACCTTCAGTAACTCCAGTGAGACTCCAAAATAATCTAAGATAAAATGAGGAGACTTTAAGTCATAGAACAGACAATTTTATTTCCCCAGATGCAACTTATATGGAATAAACTTTTTAACATAGATATATGCCACCTCGATAGCCATTAAATTTATCCTAGCTAGCGATTGATCAATACGGCAGAATTATTTCAGTACCAATGCAGGCAAGAAAAACCAAGAAAAAAAAGAAGAAAATCTCTAAAAATTATATAACACCTTCACAGCAATTCATGATGAGCCAATATCCGCAACTTAGTCAGCCTGCTAGGTTGAATGGCCATTTCACACCATTGAATCTGAGTGGATAGATAAGCAGTCGGCAAAAGAATCTTTTTAATATGGATTCAGCTAGATCTAATTCTTCTTAAAGTAAGTTAAATTATAATCATCAATCTAGAGCGTGTAAATACATCTTATACAAGGAATATTGTTAGTAAGGGATTGTATCAATCAACAATAAGGAAAACTGAGGATCAAGATAAGTCCAATAATGTGAATAAGAAATATGTCAAAAACTTTTACAAGTTGACAAACGAGAAGTTTATCAACTTGAAAAAACTACCCCTATATTAACTATGAAATATACAATTACTTTAAGAAAACGAAATAAAACTAAAATTGAATCGATTTCGTTTTTTTTGTTTTTAATTATCCTAATGGGGTTTTGGGGTTTTGGGGTTTTGGGG